ATGTCAAAGTGGTACGGCTTGACCTCTTGCCTTCTTGGCCTGCTGCTTCTCGATGCGCGCGAGAATCTCTCGTCGTGCTCGGCCGACTCAACCGACGAGGGCGGGTGGCGCGGTAGTGCTGCGCCGGGATGACAAACGACAGGGCCATGCCGCGCTGGCCGGCGCGGGCGGTGCGGCCGATGCGGTGGGTGTAGGACTTTGCGCTTGTGGGGAGGTCAAAGTTGATGACGGCGGCGACGTTCTTGAAGTCGATGCCACGGGAGACACCGTACTCCTTGTCTTTGCGCGAAGCACGCTGCTGCTGCTGCTGCTTCTTTTTGGACTTCTTGGTCTCCTTCTTCGGCTCCTCTGTCGTCTCCTCCTCGCCTTCGTCCTCTTGGCCTTCGTCGCCCACCACCTCATTGTCGTCTGACGCGATGAGAATGTCGTACACACCCTTGTTGAACTCGTCGACCTGGTGAATGTCAGTAAGCATGCTCCATAACCGCATGACCAGTTCGACTCACCACGTGGAGACGGCTGTTCACGGGCAGTTCCGCGTTCAGGATACAGCTGCGAATGCCAAACTGTTCAAAGTAGAGCTTCAGCTTGTACGAGCGGTCGACGTCGTGGCAAAACACCAGCGCCTTGCCCTGGATCAGCTTCAGCTTGAAGATGACGTAGATGAGCAAGAACTTTTCATCCTCGGCACACTTGACGACGAACTGTGTGATGCCATCGCCCTCCGCCTCGGGCTGCTCCAAGTCGAGCAGCGCGGGGTTCCTGCAGAACAGCCCCTTGACCGTGTCGACTTCTGGCGTCAACGTCGCACTCATGAGGATCGTCTGCACGCCCTTGGGCAGCGACCGTGCCACATTCTGAAGATCCTCCTTGTAGCCGTAGCTCAGCACGAGATCGGCCTCGTCGAGGACGAGATGAGTGAGGTTGGCGAGCGATAGTGCGGATGAGCTGACGTTCTCCCACGCCCTGGCGGGTGTCGAGATGACAATGTCGGGGTTCGCGGAGAGGAGCGCACGCTGGACGGTGGTCGAGACCTTGTCGGTGAGCTTGACGGCCTGGATATCCTTGGCGCAGAAAGCGGCGAGCGACTCGATTGACCTGTGAACCTGGTCGGCGAGCTCTCGCGTGGGAACGAGCATGAGTACCGATGTGGCGGCGGCGGCCCCCTTGGCCTCCTTTCTCTTTTCTTTTGCAGGACCTTCTCGAGGACGGGCAGAACATAGGCGGCCGTCTTGCCGGTACCCGTGCCGCTCTTCGCGAGATATCACGTCCCTCGAGCGCGAGAGGCACAGCTTTGCCTGATATCTGTGGGTTGTGCCAGTTGAGCTGG